ACAACTAATCATTTTGCAGATATAAATATATATATATATATATAATTAATATCAACTCAAGATGAATATCGCTGTGAATCGTATCATGAAAGAATTTAAAGAAATAGTGACGAATGAATCCGTAAGATATTTCTTATTAAATATATTTATATGGTAAGCTTTCGTTTTGTTTTTTGTTTTTGATAGAATGGAATTGAGTTACACATGCCAGAAGGTGAATTGACAAGAGATTCACCGAATGCAGCATCAAATAAAAAAGAAATTTATCTAACTGGATCAGTTCTGGGACCACCTGACACAGCTTACACTGGAGCTCGATTTAATGTTGATATTATTGTTGTTGGTAAGTAAATATATATGATATGATATGATGAAAAATAACTAATTTTTCTATAGATACTTATCCATTTAATCCACCTAAAGTTCGATTTACAACAAAAATTTGGCATCCAAATATTAGCTCTGTTACCGGTGCGATTTGTCTTGATATTCTTAAAGATCAATGGTAAGAAAATATTCTTTTTTTTTGTTTTAAATAATAAACTATTTTTTGATTTAGGGCTGCTGCAATGACTATACGAACAGTATTACTTAGTTTACAAGCATTACTTGCAACACCTGAACCCGATGATCCACAAGATGCTGGTATTTAAATCGAGAGATTATTTTCGTAGTTATTCTCTTAGATTATATAATTTAGTTGTTGCCAATCAATATAAAAAGGATAGAAAATTATTTGAAAAAACAGCTCGACATTGGTCAAATGTTTATGCCAATGGTACATAAGAAAAACTTTATTAGATTAAAAAACAAAAATAAATATTTTTAGGACCAACAGCTGAACCTGAATGTGATGCAGCTGTAGCAAGTCTTGTTGAAATGGGTTTTTCAGAGGTAAATAAATCAATAAATATAATTTTTTCTTTTAAAATATTTTTCTTTTTTTCAAGGAAAAAGCTCGTTCAGCATTATCGACATTGATGTGGAATACCAGTGATGCTTTAGAAAGTTTATGTAAACCTTAAATAATTAAAATAAGACTATAGATGATATGCTGCTTTTTTTTATGGTTATTATTTGTTCTACTAATCTTTTTCTGTCCTATTTTTCTAAAAAGCAAACAGCCTAGATATATGTATGTGTGTATGACATGTATAAATCTTGAAAAAACAAAACTATTCTTGTGATTGTTAAATGGAAAAACAGAAAAAAAAATGATAACGAATATAAACGTTTGTAATTCAT